TGTTTTTCATCTAAATAATCCAAACTGCATATTCTGCCGGCAGATTTCTGCATTTTAAGTTAATTTAGGCGTCAATAAAAGAGGATTGATCATCAGCGCTGTGTCTCTCTCCCTGCATCAGATGCTTAGCCCGACGCCCGACGCGCTGCTTCAGCTGCTCAGACGCGCTGCGCCTGCAGCTCAAAACGCGCCGCGGGACCTTTTGCTGCGCCTTGACGCGCGTCAACCATTGACTTTGCATGTAAACTCGCTGCTTCTGTCGCGCCAGCTGCCCCCGGTGTGAACGCAGCATTACACTAAGGTTCCTTTAACATTTCATTTATACAATCACTATTATGTCGGGCTTACACTGTGCGATTTTTTCCCATTTTTGGGCCAACTTTCAAGTCGTGCGAGAATTTTTCAATCGGGCCAACTTTCAGTCTGATTGTGCGTTGTATAGTGAACCCCCTCCCAATCATGACCCCAATCAGGAATCGTGAGGTCGGGAGAAAATCAAACATGTTTGAGATTCAGGTGGCAGTCATGGGGAAATCGCTCAGTGCCCAAACAAGGATTCTTCTTCTTCCTCAGATGAAAACACATAAGCATTGTGGGGCTGCAATGAGTGAAATGGAGTTCTTTCTGTAAAATTGACAGACCATAGTACCCATGTTTGCTCAGCTATATCTTTGTCCAAATACGTTGTCAGATTTTCTTTTTAGGGCTTGTAGTACAAAATTGCACAAATTGCCAAGGAAGCACGTTTCACGCTAGTGAGCTTCATATTCCTCTTGTACCTATTTCACTTCCGAATAGACGAGTCAGAGTAGCGCCATCTCACTGGGGTTCTGAGTCCGATGAGGTTTTTAGACGTACAGTGTGATCAGGTAGATCGCATCAGATCGTCGGGTCGCACAGTGTGAGAACACGCATCGTGAGCTGTGAACTCAGCAGGGTTTCATCGTACAGTCTGAGGTGTAGCTCCTTGCAACGATTGAAAAAAATCGCATGTATGCCCGGCTTTAGTAGAAAGTCTCATAAAACTTCAAAATATGCATGTTTTTCAAGACAAAGGAGTGAGTGAAAAAGCAAATATAAAGCATTTTTAATGCCAAAAGATTTATTAAATCAGCTTCAGGAATTTTTGCTTCTCAAAAAAGAATAAAAAGCATGAAATGAAAAGATTTACAGATTTTCAACTTCTACATGATCAGATTATGGTCAAATGATGCACGCTCTTTGCTGTAGACACCACTGTAATATCTCATGTTTCTACATTTATTAGGAAATCTGATCTGACAGCAAAAACATTCCTTAATCGTTTCCAATTGTCCTCTCTGTCCTTTTGTGATCGGATGTCATCTGATTAGACATCAAGTGAAAGTGACTTTTCACCAACAAACGACTGTGCCAAGCTTAGTTTTTATCTTGGCTGCTACACTAAATGCCCATTTCTCAAAGTCATAACAGAATATTCATGTAGACCAATTTACCACAATAGCATTTAAGTAGCTTTTGTTCCCACCGCAAGGTTCTAAGTAAAACAATTAGTAGCGTAGAAAAAGCAGTATATCTTTCTTAAAGCACAATGAAAGTAAAAGAAAATCCATGGAGACATTAAAGAAAGCGCTTTCTCTTGAGTCCATTTACTGACAAAGGGGACTAATCAAACACAGATAAAGGAGGAAGAGGAGCACATTACGGAAATTAATTGATAAAGAAAGAAGGAACAAAGGCAAGCCTGAAGCAGACGGATAAAGAATGAACACAGACGGACACTCCTATTAGAGGACAATTACCCAGTTTTAAATTGTCTCTGGCTTTGTTTGTACATGCATGCGTATTAGTGTACGAGTGTTTTTCCCTAGACTGTCGACCATCAATTGCGGCAGTAACCATGTGTGACAGAAAACTCCCTGAATGTGAAGGTTATCAGGAAATAGCTGTTGTTATCCAGAAACAACATTTGAGCAAAAGTCTAGTTTTCCAAATTAACATTCTGAGGAAGGTCCTGCTCTTTTGAATAATAAAGTTTACTGCCTCAAAGGTTAAATGTCATTGACGGAACATTTACCTCGGCATCGTTTAAAAAGTTCAAACGATTACGTAAGGCTGATCTGTCAAAAGTTTAAGATGAAGTGGGTGTTGACCTTTTAAGGAAATGATGATCCAAAACACAAAAGGAGATTCTTCTCACGGCTCAACCATTAAATATCGGAAGGTTTTAGGAATGCTGGTTTTAAATGAAGAGAACTTTTATTATTTTTAGTTAGCTGCTGGTAGCTGGTTGCCCAAAAGCAACTCATTGAATACATGTTTTAATAGGAGAGATGGTACATCTTAATATTATACGGCTGCAGTTTCTTTCAAATAAATAGGCTAATAGGTGCTGTTTAAAAAAATAAATGAGTTGATCCTACAGTAGCATACCTATTTCTATCATCCTCCTTTATTTTATTTATAAACTTTACCATGCTATTTAGCTTTAATGATAATAATCAAAACTACTGAAAAACAAATTGTGGCTAGTTATAATGCTGATTAGCTTGTAACTTCGGACAACCATCAGCCACAGTTGCTGGTGAGTTTAAGAAACCCTGAAGGCAACACAGGGAAACTGAAAACAGAATTTCTGTACTAGGCAGCTGGTCTCTGCTGACCCACTCCACCTACACAAGGAGATATGCTTAGACCAACAATAAATTAAATGATTTTCTTATAATAAAAAAAACTGAAAATAAATAATTTTCTTCATTATAAAAGTTAATAAAAAAATACAATAACTCATGAAAATTTGACAAAAAAGGAGTGTTCCATATGTTTCGAATCTAAAATAATGCTTTCACATTCATTTTATGTCAATGGGCTAAGGGAACGTTATTGATTTTTGTTCATTTCCGGGTCTGCATGTGTTTTGGATCCTTTTTATTGTTTGACGTCTTGCCACAGAATAAATGCCTTGCCCAAATTGCCGCTTGTGGTCTGATTCACATTTTCCATTCCTGGACTATTATGATGAAGTTTTTCTTTGACTTTTTTGCTCATTTTAACCATTTTAACCAATGAGTTTCAAAAACTCATCACACACACTCATTTATTTTAAGGTATATCATTTCCAGACAGGTTTTGGGTCCAAAACTGGGATCACACATCTAGTTTGCAATGAGGCAATGGAAGACATTTTGAGCTTAATCCACACTATCTGCTGTATGGTCCAAATTACAGCAGCATTCTATTCTTTTCTATTCTGTTCTTTTGTATTCTGTTCTACCAATTAAAGTTTGTTGTAAAGAAAAACAGATCTTAATCTCAAGTTCAGGCCAAAAAGAGTAGCGGACATTTTCAATGCCAAGTAAAGAACCGATCTAATCATAGCTGACTTTAATCTTTTATATCAAACAAAAAACAATACACTAATGTCACTACATAAGTAATCTAGATCTTAATGTGTTTTCAAACATGAAACAGAAAAAGGTCAAAGAAGCTCTCCACTTTTTGGATGCTTTATTATTCAAATTTGCAGAAGAACATGTTGCAGTTTCGGTCTTTGCACCGCTGCTTGATGTACGGTCTGGAATTACACCGCAAGTGAGGACTCTTTACGTATGAGACATCCTGCTTTACATAATAGAGAGCTGTCTTAATGCATTACATATTCCAGTGTGTCTGGATGTGCATTGAAGTGGTAATACAGCAAGTATGAGTGTGACATCAAAGATGCGAGTGTTCTCATAAATTTATTAAGGCGGCGGTGATTGAAATGCAACAAGGATTACCTAACCCCTGAAAGATGTACACTGCACCTTAACTCTAACTATCGTTCCATGACATCTGATAACTAAATACATATTCATATGTTATACTCGTGTTACATGATGGCTGCGTTTACATAATTATTTTTGAGTGAAGACTGATGAAACATTGGGGTGTAGCGCGAAATCCTCATGATGGAAAATCATATTTATGCAACGTTGTTTGTGTATATCTAAAGCCAAATGATAAAGGATTAAACTGAAAAATAACAGAAATGTGATCAAAATAAATAAAAAAGGGTGACAATTAAAAAGGAGTAAGAATGTAAATTGTTTTAATTGTGTAGTTTGAAAAAGTGTTGGAAGAAGAAGAGTGTGAGAAGTGAAGATGAGGATGATTTTGAGCTGAAAACATTCACGCTTTGACTGCCACACATAAAAACACATTTTCCTTTTAACCTCTTATAATTTGATATAGCAATGAAGGTACTTTAAAATTGCAGGAAAACCTTTCCCTAGCATTATTGATTAAAGTCATAGATAACCATGCTCTTTGACTAGTGAACTGCATTTGGTTTACCTTTTGAATTTCAATTAAAGCAAGAGAAGCAACCTATATCTGACCTATAATCATAGCTACATATTCAGACACAGTAATGTATCCCAAGAATGTGCATATTAAATTTGTGATGCATCATTTAATCTGTCTGTTTTTAAATCACTAAAAGTTATCCTTAGATATCTTCTTGCACATACTTTCATCGTCTTACCATGCCAGCCCATTGAGTACGGGAAACATACTTCAAAGAGGTTGTCATACTTGGTCAGCAGTTGCTTCATAATGGCTGCCAGACCTGACAAACATCAAAGAGAAAAAAATTAAAATAAAAGTTACATGTAAATATATTTATTCACAGTAAAATAAACACATGGTTTTTAAATGTATCAAACTGTCCACAGGGTTGATGGACATAGGGTTGTAATGGACAAAATGAAACAAATACACAGCCATCATGATTACATGATAAAATGTCATTATTTTTCCTTTTAAATTTTCTATTTTTGAAGATTATGAAATATTTTTCTTAAAGAATCTGTCAAAAACAGGATTCACAGGAGTTAAATTTTTAACTAACCTTTAGGTCTATTCTTAACAGTTCCTTATGTCATGCATACTGTGTTGGGGAATCTCCTGTATATACGATTTTTATTGATATTTTCAAAGTGTAATTCAATGAAGAGTCATGTCTGAATGTTTGTCAATTCATTTCAAGTCCTTGAAAACTTATGAGTCTTATTATGTGTATTTTGAAGTTTTAGGGAGGGAGAGATATATTAAGGATGAAACATTTAGTTAATATTACCAGAGTAAAGCCCAGAAAAATTGGTAGTTTATCAAACTTCCCAGACCTGAGCTGCAGAGAGAGTATCTTTAACAAGGATATTTGTTGATATTTTGTTCTTTCCCCAGACTGGATGATACAGTAGAACAAAATAAAAGTAATTATATTTGTGGCTGTCTGTCACGCACCTCTCATGTTCCCCCCCTAGTCCTCTTCTAATTGGCTGATCAGCCCTCATAACAACTGCTTCCTCTAATTCCTGTCATCTTCTGAGTCAGCTGGGCTCTGATACTCAGAAAGGCACATAAAAAGAACCAGAGACAGCAAGAGTTTTCCAGACTACATTAATAAAATGTCTAATTAATTCATCAAGGTCCAGTTTCCATTATTTAGCTTGTTTTGTTCATTTATCTAGTTATATATTTTTTGTTTTAAATTCTTACAATGTTTTATCCTTCATTTTCCTTTGTATCATTTGATTCCTAATCCAAAATGAAACATCGCCTTAAAAATCAGACAGACTGAGCCGTTATCAAAACATTCCAATCATTAAGTATACAGTATTTTGGGCCGCCAGAACCTGTGAGCCAAAGTCGCTCATCGATCTTACAGAGAGAGGAAATGCAGATGCAAAATCCCAGAGCAGAAGTACAAAATAAATAGCTCCATCCAGAACTGGATAGTTACTCTAGTCACTCTAGTCACCATCCAAGGCACGTTTAGTATGAGGACCTGAAGGATTAGAAGTGGTTCTGAAATGTTGAACTTCTTCCCTTCTTCCCAATCTCTTTATGGCCTAAATTAGTAACTAGAGCTCAATTTCTAGGATGTAAAATTGGTAAAACTTTGATGTGGTTAATATTCTAATTATTTCAGGCAAAGTTTTAAATTTAAAGAAAAAAAAACCTCTTTATTTTGAATAAGTCTGTCATTTTACAAAATCGAATCATTATAAAGTTTTTATTAAATTGATTAAAGACAGAAAAAAACTTGATTGCATGCTTTATCAACTAATGGGATTTTTTTATTATAATCTTTAGTTGAAGTTTAATTACCTTTGATTGATAGTAAATCATTAAAATAGTAAGTATAAAGAAAGACCTTACTGCTGCAAAAGTGTGACGGCATTTATTCTACTGGAATTAAGTAATCTTTTCTTTGACTGTTATACTGTTAAAGGTATAGAGGACGATCTTTTATTTCCAGGTGGATCATCTAAATGCAGAAAGTGGTTCTCCTAATTGTCAGTCATTCTGGTGATATGTTTACGTAAGGTCGTCCTACGTGCTCTCCCCGATAGCTTTTCTGCACATGCAAACTTTCAGGTGTATATCTGTGGTGAGCTACGGTTTCTGACAGTCACTGAAGCTCACCTTTCTCACCGCAGTTCTTTGATAATGGCCGAGGGATGTAAGAGAAAAAGTGTCGATGAAGTGTATGAGAGGAAAAGAAAGGCATCAGAAGAGGCAGATATCTCCTAGGATGCTTTGCGTGGAGAGCTCTCGTTGCAAAGCACTTTGGGATTAGCTGTCACAGCTGCCCGCTGTCACCATAGGCTGTTGCTAAATGACAGCGCCGACTAATAAAGATGTCGCAGGCATTGCACTGGAAAAAAATCGAAATCTAGATAAGTTGTTTTTTTCTTAAAATAAGTGTATTTGTTCTTGGATTTAGTAGGTAAAAGAGAAATTTTGCCAATGGAACAAGACAATTTACACTTACAATAAGAAAACACAATTGCGTTGTCTTATTTCAGGTGCATTTTATCAAATTTTCTTATTTTAAGAGCAAAAATACTAATTCCATTGCAAACTATCTCATTTACCTACTCAAATTAAGCGTAAATACACTTAATTTAAGACATTTCTACTTATTTTTAGATACTTTTTCCAGTGTGCACGGTGGAGGAGGAGTTACATGACCAACAGAGCAAAAAGCAGTGATCATCTTCCCAAACGGTTTGGTATAAAGTCCACTTTATAGTCTCTGCTGTATGTGGACACAGTATGTGTAAGCTATGAGAACAGCACAAATTCCTCCACAATATCTTTAACTAAGGCATCATTAGTTTAAGTTTGTGGTCCTGTTTTTATTTGCTTTATGACTTGCTTTTATCATGTTTATATCTTCACTTGCTTATTCTGCTTTTATTTTGCTTATATTTTACTGTTTAATTCACGTAAAGCACTCTGGATTGTCTGTGCTGAATTGAGTTTTATAAATAACCTTACCTTTGTAGTGTTCTGTAATTATAGGAACATTGATGTAGCTTGCAAAAAGTTATTAATGCTTCATACATGGATCAAATGTTTTGAGCCGGACAGTACACTGTATTGCCAAACACGTTTGCCAGTATAGTCTATTTGCACAAATATCCTCAAAGTTCTATAATTAAGTAAGTACCACTATATTCTTTGGAAAATTATCAAGGATGGAAAACACATGAAAGAATGTTAGAGATGATAACATTAGACAAAGTTAAGGCGAAGAAGGACGCAGAGATGTAATAAGTTATGTAATATAAAACAACATTTTCCCTAAAGTTAAATCATTGCTTGAAAGAAAAAACCTTCAGCATATATAGGCAAATGCCAACCATGTTGAAATTCGGCTCATAACCATTTTGTTATATTTCTATTTCTAAAAATAGAATTCCTATAGTTTAGAAATTACCAGCTTAGGTCTTAAATAGCTGTAAAAATATGCATTGCATTTATGTTTCAATGCAACAAAAGCTTTATTTTATAAAAAAAAAAGTATGAACATTTATATGAAGTTAAGTCAAAGTCTATCTAAGTTTAAAAACATGTTTTCTGTTCTAGAAGCTTGAATGTGAAATGAAAGAACACCAAGGAGTCACTCTTTCCCTCATCCTAATCACCTCCTCGCTCTTTCAGTCACTTGCCCTGTCAGTACTTTTACACACACTTACTCCCTCTTTCCTCCGCTGTCAGGTCATTGATTCTGAGGACATGTCGTCTTGGCAACAGCAATGTCTGGTAGGGCCACGTTGCCCAATAAGGAACCACCACCAGCCAATCAGAATTTTCCACCACCACACGCTCCTAAAAGAACAGAAACATTTGTATACGATTAAAATGTGAATTAAATTGCATCATTTAGTTATCTGTCAGTTGTGAAAGTTTTGCCATTGTTCTTAGCAGACAGCAATGTGTTATCTAGTACAATTAAACTCAGAGAGTATAAGAATTCACAACAGAATTCAGTACAAACTGTAGTTTATTAATATTACCTCAACTATAAGTTATTTTTCTAACTTCGTTTGGTGTTTCAATGTGGGCAACCGCCTTGGTGTGACCAACTATGAAAGCTCCAATGACAACCCGTCTGTCTGTGACAGACAGATTGAGCTGTGTCTGTAGCTCCACCCAAAAACAAACAATATCACAGCCAACCCATCCTACTCAACTCATTCTCGCTTTCTTCCAATGTGAAGGCTACAGCAGAGCTCCGTCAGGATGCTCGGAATAGCTTTGCTCTGTTTAAATATTCTCAGATTCGCCAGTAAAGTAGTATGTGACTGAACACAGTACCAAGAGTAGCCTATAACGTGCTGGGTGAGACTTGGATAGAAGCATTCTATATTTGACCAAAAATCTGGATTGATAACGACGTATAGGCAAACTGTTCCATGTCATTTAGAATGAATTGTCAAAAATCCCCATTTGTGCAAATTAACACATCATGGTGCTAATTTCTCACATAAGGCTTGCTACAGTCAGCTAATGCATCACAGCAAGCTGACTTTATCAGCTAATTATAAAGCTATGGTGTTAAGATAAGTTTCAATTTAGACAATTGTCATGGCTGTGGCTCCAACTCCTACAAAATGGTCAGAAACAACAGCTAAAGATGATGTATCCCGACTGTGTCTGGTGTCATGCGGCCCATCCCTTTTAGATACGGATCCTCACCCAAAATATATTGCTCGCATTGGTGCTAAACACGCTGAGGCATCACTGGTCCCCGTCTATGCCTTTGCGCTTTGAGGGCCTAATAAGCAATGGTGACTCAAAGCTGGTGGTGAAGAAACAGGGTGATGCAAACTCTGCTGTCACTGCTACTAAGGTGAGAACCTGGAGGAGATGAGTTGTCAGTTGGACTATGGGACAACTAACCCTAGTTTATGGGATGAAATATGTTAAATGATCTCATCCTATGCTCCTCTAGAGGTGCAGTTCAAGATTGTTGTGGTGGTGGTGTTGTCTAAGGCACAGGGCTCTGTGGCTAATCATGTCATGCCTTAGTGATTCTAAGAAGGCTGAAATCATGGATGCCACTTATGACACATCAAATAGTGTTTTGGGCCCACAGGAAACATGAGGGAGAGGCTTTTAACATTTGATTTCCTAAGTTAAACTCTCCCTCGGGGACCTAGACCTGTAGCTGCAGCTGATGGAGACCTGCATCCCAGCCTCCCTAGCAGAATGGAGGGAAACCCATGGGGATGGCATTCTTTTGGAGCATGTGCTGCAAAAAATAGTGGCTCCAACCCAAGGGAGAAAGCAGCAATTGACCTAACCCTTCAGACCACAACCTTTCATTTGAAAATGAGATTTTCAGACAACAGAGAAGACCTCTTTCAGGGCTCTTTCAGGTTCAGGGCTCAGATCCAGCACACATCCTGAGTGACAAAATTCTATCCCTATTGCAGGGTTCTACAGCATAAGGCAATTTAAATTCAAGACTTTTTAATGCCACTTGAAATAAAAATTTAAGACCAAATTCACAAGAAACACAAGAAAAACCTGCTTGCAACAATTTAACCCAAAGGTTTATTTCAACATAAACCATAGCACCAATGTTTCAAATTTTGAAAAACTTCCCATACAGGAAGAAAGCTAAAAACACACAAATGACAGATATATTTTAACAATTATTTAACTGAATTCACAAAGTTTGTTTTAGCAGGGAACAAAACAAATCAGTTTTAAAGCCCCAACATAACCAGTGCTAAGTCTTTATTGCAGCAATTTTTCTTTGTATCGTTTTCTTAGTATGTTTGATTTGGTGATAAGTGGAGGCGTAACAGAGACAAGGATGTAACAAATCTGAGAAATACCGGCTGGTTCTCGGTAACTCGATTTTGACGCTTTGTGTTTCGTGCTTTGCACGTGCAACTCTACTGCCTTAATTCCCATCGTTCCGAGCTTGAATGACTTCTTTCACAAAATCCACTGAGCCTCATGTATGTTCCCTGGTTTTAGCCATAGAGAAAACTCTTGGCTGAAGCCAATTTTCGTTACATTTACACTTGCTCATATTTTCCAGACAAAAAGTTAATGGCGCATCTCCCAAATGTCCCGGCCGCAACAACGCTTTTATTGGTTCCGCTATAGGAACGGAACCAATAATGGCGAGTCGTTATTTTTTTTTTTTAAAAAAAATTGTGAACTTTAATGTTTTATTTAGATTACAAAAATAATTTATGATGTTTTAAAAAATTAAGTCCTACGAAAGACTGATTTAAGACATTTTAATACCAATTAAGGCCTTAGTTTTATTTTGAAGAATTCAATGCCTTTTAAGACTTTAAGGACCCGCGGGAACCCTGTATTAGGCAAAACAGCAATTAAAGAAGTACTGACAGAGGAGCTTGATCAGGACTTCTACTCACACTATTTTCTAATTTAAAGACAGACTGCTATCACTATGACCCATACTGGACTTTTGTGTGTTGAACATACACTGATGCAGGTATATTTTCAGACTGCAAACACAAAAGCACAATGCTCTGTGCCATTCCATCCATCCAGGGGATTTGTTTTCAATGATCGATCTCTCTGACGCATCTTCATCTCGCATTTATGCCGACCACTGAAGGTTTTTTCAGAGGCATAGCTACATATTCTGAAACTGTTCTTTTGCTTCTAAATGGGGGGAGTATAAGGTTTGATTAAATGCTAAGTGAGATTTCCATATACATTCTGATTACTGCTGCATTTTATAAACAAAAAAATAATAATTTCACTGTTGTCAGCTCTTCATTCAGTGTTGAAAGCTGTATGCATCCAAATTTCGTTTTGTATACACTCTGTGTAAATAAAATGACAATAAAGTTTGTCTGAGTCTAAGTTAACAGTGTTTCAACCTGGTTAATGATGTGTTGGGAGTGGCGGCCTAGTAGTTAGGGCATAGAGCTTGGAATCCTGAGGTTCTGAATTCGAGCCCCACTCCCACAGACTGCTACTCTGGCTCTCTGAGCAAGACCCTTAACCCCACACTGCTCCCAGGGTGCCCAACAATGGCAGCCCAAGGAGATGGGTTAAATGCAGAGGTAACAACATGTAAGTGTTCAGACTGCTTTGTAGTACATTTATTGAAACCAGAAAAAATCTAAAATTAAAAAAACAATTAAAAAAAGGGGTAGGCTCATGGTGAATTTGATAATTAAACAGGTCAGCAGGGAATATAGTGTCATTAACATAAAATGTCGAATGCAGAATATATCCAAGGCAATAATTTAACAAAATGATGAGTTGGCACAAATACAACCTGACCTTCATACCAGAATCCATCAGACATAGATCTGCTTGGTGTGTGTGTGCAGAGGGAAGGAAGAGCGTGACAAAGACATGCATCTCCAGTATTATAATAAAATTAATCTAAAGAAATGAACATGAACAACTATGACTAAATGTTTCTTTTCTTTATTTATCTGTCCCAATCACGATATGTTCAATATTTTGAGGTTTTGTATTAATGCAATTAAAATGGTGTCTGTTCCTCTACTTGTGTGGCTGACAAGCAGCTTAAACTTCTTTTTTTAAATATGGTTTTTAATCCATCTTTCCATGTCAATTTAGGTTTCAACTAACCCTCAAGAAAAATTCAAGTCTAAACATTCTATTTTTTTCCTGTTCTTTGGGAGTGAAATGACAGCATACGACTGAATATGATTATTTTTGCCAAAGAGCATCCTGCTGTTGGAGAAAACATGAGCTGTGAGACTGTTGAGTCTAAACTGTCAAGCAAATGCAAAGAAAACAGATAGAAAAAATAATGAGCTACTACCACAAGTTGAGCAGCACTGCAGTAGTCCAGATATGTGTTGGTTACTGCTGGGGGTTTCTTTTTCAAATACATCACATGGGGTTTTAGGATGTTAGATTTCTATTGCTATTTTCCAACTATGTTGTAAGGAATTAAAATAGAACCAAAATTTCAGAAGAGTGAACATCTCTCAAGATAGAATCCTGCTAAAATATGTGACAAGAAGCCATTAGTATTGTTAATTATCTATATATTTTTAATAACTACTTTTTCAATATTAATTTTTTTTATTCCTAGTCTAATTTGAACAGTATAAAAAATAAAATGTATTATTTAATCCTTATATAATTAAACAACATTTGAATACTTAGCTGGTTGGTAGGAGAAAGCATTACCCA